AAAGGATGAAATAAACAGGAACCTGATGCATATAGTTGCCATGATCTTCTAGAAATCCAAAGACACTCAGATAACATTAAAAATAGACCTTAATGTGAGCCTTCAGTGTTTCCCCACTGATTCTCTGTGAAAGACACTACTATGGGATGATTCTACAACCTTCCTTTCTTCTCCCTTACCAACACAGCTCAGTTTTAATTGAGGCAGCAAGATGCCTAGAAAAAGCAAAGCAAGACCATGGTTGCATGCTAGGTGCTTACTCCCACAGCCTCCCTGGGTGATCTGGTGAGCAAATTCTGGCCAATGACTAGAAGGAAGGCAATGGGTTCTGCAAAATATATTTTTCCTCCATGAAAATATATATATATATATATATACTTATTTATTTATTTTCCTCCATGCAAAAAAAAAAAAAAATATATATATATATATACACACACACACACATATATTTGCATGGAGGAAAAATATATTTTGCAGTGTATATATATATATATATATATATATATATATATATATATATAGTTTTCACTGAGATTCTTTTTCTTCCTGCCTCGAGTGCCGTTTGTAAAGATAGGATTTTTAGAAAGATGGCAGGCTTCTTGTAGTCATTCAGTGACAAGTCTATTTTGAGTCCAGTACTGAGCAGACGGCAGGGATATAAAGAAGTTAGAAGTGATGGTCCCTATGCCCAAAGAGCCTGTAATACCAAGTGTCAATATGTGCACACACAAATTAACTTGAAAAAATTACAAAGCAACTTACAGTATTACTCAGTGCCAAATAACTCAGAACCAATGGCAGCCCTCCAGAATCCACTGCTGGTAACTCTGCCCTGCCAATTCCTCTTGCCAATCCAGTTAAACTGATGAAGTTTTTAGGAAAGATGTGACATTTAGAGAAGATTCTATTCTCGAATTCTTATGTTTTTAAAATTCGTTGCTGCTCCCGTTTAAACACCACTAACACTTTTACTTGGAAAGGAAACACATTATCCAAAAAGCACTGGACTGGACAATGGATTTTAGTCTTGGTAAAGCCACTAAGTAGCTCCAGGGCATTGTAAAGTTTCACTTAAATGTCTGGGATTTTGGTTCCCTAATTTGAAAATTGGGAGTAACGATTCAGTAACAAATATTTACTGAGCACTTAATAAGTGTTGGACACTGTTTTAGGCAATAGAAATACAGCAGTGAACAAAAGAGCCAAAGAGCTCTATTCCACAGAAGGTAGACGAACAATAACCAAATGTATACCAATCAAGCTGTAGTACTAAGCCCCACAGAAAAACGTAAAGCAGCATAAAGAGGATAGAAAGTATGGTAAAGCAGGTAAGTGTTGAGGGGAGCTGCTAATTTATATGGAAAGGTCAAGAAAGTCTCTTTGATAAGAGGCTTGCGTTTCCTTTTCCATGTGGGGTGTGTGTGTGTGTGTGTGTGTGTGTGTGTGTGTGTGTGTTTTATGCACTCCCACATGCACTGGCCTGCTTGTCTAGGGGGAGAGGAGACGAGGTCAAATGACTGAAAATATATAAAAAGCACTTAGTAAATTACTCGGCTCTATGTCAACATAATGTACTATTACCATTGTTATTATTGTGAATTAAGTCTAAACTCCTTAGCTTGACAGTTAACATCCTTACAACACAGCCTCCCAACCTACATTTCTAGTTTTGTCTCCATTCCCCTGGATAAACTTAACTTGCAAATGAAATGTTCACTTCATCTAATTCACCTGGCAATTAATAATGTACCAGCTCAAGTATCTTCTATTGTTCTTCTGTTTAAACCCTTTATGATTTCTTTTTTTAATAAATTTTGTGTCCCCAGTGAAATGACAATCTTTCGCATATCAGTCTTTCTATAAATGCTTTGAGTATAAAAGGTGTTCAATAGCATTTATTGATTTTGTTTGACGGACTGGTTTGATGTTTATCATCACTCTGAGAACTATCACCCTGTTTAGAATTTGGTGCTGTACTCAATTCTGCATGAGTTTCGAATCACCTTATTCATCATGGAACTGCGTGCTGTTTGAGCGGCAGAAATTTTAAAACCTTTATATTGCTAGAGGGGTCCTTTAATTGTATTTAGGACGTCCGTCAAGGATCACATCAGTGTCAATCAGACCAAAAGCAGTTCCACATCTTAAATGTCTTTTTCATGATCATAATCCCATGTGTCCTTTTCATGATTTTTTCATGACCTTGGGAAACTTCTTGCCAATACTGATTTGTAATTGTTGTCTCTTGAATATCTTTCCTGTAAATTTTTGAGCTGAAAGAACTTCCCAGCACTCTGAGAAATGAAGCAGAGGAGAAGGATGAATAAGGTCTAGTAGGCATGACAGAATAAGTACTAAACGTGGTTTTGACAGGCAGAATAATGACCCTCCAGTGATATCTGCACCCTGAGACCTATGATTATGTTACCTCACATGGCAAAGGGACTTTGCAGATGTGCTTAAGAATCTTGAAATGGGGAAATTACTCTGGGTTATCCGGGTGGGCCCCATGTCATCACAAGGGTCCTTCCAGGAGGGGTACAGGAGGATCAGAGTTGGAAGAGATAAGGCAAGAGAAGTAGAGGTTAGAGTTCTCCAGCTAAGGAATGCAGGCAGCTTCTAGAATCCAAAAAAGACAAGAAGCAAACAGGTGATCCCCTCAGTCTACAGAAAGAGTGCACAGCCCCTGCAGGCCTTTGCTTTTAACTCTGAAAGATCGATTTTCAGATGTCTGACTTCCAGAACTGTTAACTGCTAAATTTGTGTTTTATTCAGTCAGTGGTACTTTGTTGGTAGCAACATGAAATGAATACAGTAACATAGTAAAAACAGCCCTAGGCAGAGCTGGAGATCGGTCACAATCTAGTCCCTAATTATACAATTAATATATACTACACGTGAAATATATTAATTGTATAATCCCAAGAAAGTCACTCTACCTCAGTTTCTTTTCTTGTAAAGTGAAATTATATCTGTCTTACAGTGTTGTATAAAGACAAATAAAATTATTCACATAGACACTTTGTAAAGTATTTCATCCTATGCAAATGTTAGGCCTAAAACTTTAGCTTAATTTGCTTAATGAGGGGGAGAACTGGAATAAAGACATCTGTGCTTAGCATATTTAGGATATAAATACTATGATGACATAAATATTATGCCACAACTACTCCTATAATAAAGATGTCCTTTTAGAAGTTGCTTAGTGTAGGGAAGACCACCCAGTCCCTTCATCTTCAACCAAAATGAACGTGGCTAGCCCAAGAACCCAGACACAGCCTGAGAATCTTTCTTAACCCACCTTCAGGAAGCAGCTATCAATTAACTAGACCTGGCATAAAATAAGAAACATATTTAAAATCCCTGATCTAGTGGCTTAGAAAGTTTGATCTTTTGGCCGGTAGCATGGGCATTACATGGGAACTTGTTAGAAATGCCTATTCTGGGCCAGGAGTGGCTCACGCCTGTAATTCCAGCACTTTGGGAGGCCAAGGCAGGTGGATCACCTGAAGTCAGGAATTTGAGACCAGTCTGGCCAACTTGGTGAGACCCCATCTCTACTAAAAATACAAAAATTAGCCGGGTATGGTGGCAGGTGCCTGTAATCCCAGCTACTTGGGAGGCTGAGGCAGGAGAATCGCTTGACCCCATGAGGCAGAGGTTGCAGTGAGCCAAGATCGCACCACTGCACTCCAACCTAGGAGACAGAGCAATACTTCATCTCAAAAAAAAAAAAAAAAAAAAAAAAAGAAAGAAAGAAAGAAAGAAAGAAAAGCGTTTCCTCAGTCCCTATCCCTACCCCAGACGTACTGGATCACAATCAGCATTTTAATAAGATTTCCTAGGTGAGTGCTGTGTACTAGTTGAGAAGATCTATTTTGGATTGGTTTGAATTCCAGCTGAGCAGGTTACTATTGTGTGACCTCAAGCAAAGTGTTTAGAATTAGATCATCTAAGCCTGTTTCCTCTTCCACAAAGTGAGGAATAATACCCACCTCAATGGGTTGTAGTAAGAACTAAAGATGCTGTATATAAGGCATTTGCACAGAGCCTTCCAACAAATACCCAGTTAATAATGAAGCTCTTATCGTATCATTATGCACCATCTACAGCTGCTAAACATACTACACATCCATTCAGGATTCTGGAGCTGCTCAACAGGGACGATTTCCAAAGCCCTCCAAGCCCATGGGGTAGGGGGGGAAGGGGTGGGGAAAGGAACACTGCCAGCAGTGCCTCTCCAAAAACGCAGGATACTGTACATTTTGCAAAACACATTACTCATCGGATGATCTTGCTTTCAGATCTTCACTGCACGTGGCTTTATTGGAAACCTTCTGCTAGAGTCCAGACTCAGTCATGGAGTCTGGTGACCTGTGGGAGGGAGCAAGGGCCAGGATGCCTACTGAATCGCTCTGTGCCCCCAGCCCCCGTCCTTAATCCCTACCTAACTTTCCATCTGTCTCTGGTCTCCAGGCGTGCAGAACCACAACCCACCTGCCCCTTCCCAGCAGCCCAGGCTGCAACTATTTCCCCCAGGACCGGGAAGGCCGGGGAGGGGGTTTGGAGGGGGCGGAGCTCGGCCTCCCGCTGCAGCCGCTGCTGCCGCCGCCGCTGCCGCCTGTAAAGCTGTCGCCCCTGTCTCGGATGCTCAGGCTGGGCAGCGCTGGACAGATGGGTGCACCCCGGGCCTGACGGATGAGCAGTCGGGCAAGTGAACTCTCACCTCCAAACTGGCTCTGCGCCCGGCGGGGGCGGCGGCGGCGTCTGCAGCCCCGCGGTGGGGGCAGCCCCCTCGGTCTCCTCCCGGCTGCTGCGCGCCGCCTCTGCTCTTTGCATAGTAATTTCAGTTCCCGAACGCTCGGAGCTCGCTCCGGGACTGGACTGAGAAGGACCTCAGCTCGCGGGCCCGCAGGAGCCAACGGCGTGGCGCCGAGAGCCGGCGCTTGGGATATGAGACCGGAGGCCCCCGTGGCAGCGCAGGCAGTGGCCCCGCCGCGCCGCGGAGCCGGGCAGAGCAGGTAGGAGACCCGCGGCCGCGGGAGGAGACGCCCCCTGCGCACCTCAGCCCCGCGGCCGGCGCTGGGGACCGGAGCCTGGCTGTGTGCTCCGGGGATGCGGAAGGGATTCGGTCCCACATTTTGCCCTGGGATCCTTTGCCTGTTGCTCTTGTCTCCGTCCCACCCTGCGCTCTAGGAGGGGCAGTCTTTCTCGCAGGTGATGAATATCTCTGCAAGGTCATTGCTCTCTTAGGCTCCGGCTTTGAAGGTAAATGGGAGAAGACGCCTGCTGATCGTGGGCAGGGGGATTTATAATCAGTCAGGTCTGCACACTGCGAATATCCGAATAGGTGTGCGTGTGAGTGTGCGCGTGTGCATGTGTGTAATAAAATATTTATCTCATTTTCCTATGCTTATCCGCTTTAAGGTCAAAACACCATAGAAATATATACTACATATGCATTTATATGTATACACACACACATACATTCGTATGTATGTAGTTTTTCTTGAAGCAGGCAGAAAGAAGGGAAGGGCGGGCAGAGATTGATAAAGGGAAATCATTGTAGAGACCTGTTCAGTAATAGAGGCGAACTTTGGAACCACATTAAATCAAGGTAGAGACTAGAGGTGATAAAAGGTTCTTTCAAGATGGGCTTCAGAAGGGGTCTGAAGGAGACTGTCAGCCAACACACACACAGATCTTCACGCTCTCCAGGCAGATGGAAACGATGTAGGCAAAATTTCAGACGCAACAATGGACAGTGAAAGACGAAAACAAGGAGAGATACTTAATAGACACTGGGAAGTGAATTGGGTGATGGGAAGGCATCGAATCCAGAACAGGTTTCAAGGGCTTTCTGGAGAGGCGTTGGGAGAAATCACTGCTTGGGGTGCGGGCAGTTCAAGGTTAAGACGATATGGATGTCCAGAAAGCAGCCGAGGAGGTGGGCACAGGCAAGGGCCTGAAGCGGGAGGGGAGAAACGGAGCTCTGAGCAGTCATTCAAGAAGCTCCCACCTTTGAGTAAGGTGTCTTCTTCCTCTAGGTTAAAGCAGTACTTGGATATGCTCCATCTAAATATTTTCACAACACATTTGTTTAAAGATCCATTGGACCATGTTTTCATTTTGTTTTTGCAAGATATCTGGGTCATGGTGGGACTAGAAGAAACTGAAGTGTTTACAACACCAGCAAGATTTGAGAGAGAGGGTTGATTAAGGCTTAGCTTCATGAAATATTTACACATCTGCGTGGGCTTTTGTTTGCTCTTGTTGGTGCTGCTGCATATTTTACTTTGATAATGCTTTGAGTGTACTTCTCCCAAATGTGCTTATTTTCCAGTTATAAACTATTCTTTCTTTTCCCATTGTGCTCACCATTGGCCTGCCCTGAGTAACAATTGTGGAAATAAAGATACATGAGTCACGGCACAAAGCAGAAAATCTTCTCTGCTGCTATCTGCAAAAGACAGGAGTTTGCATGAGAGAATGTCCTTTTGAAATAGAAGCAGGAAGAACATTTTTCGAGTTTTTGTGTGTGTTTAATTTTTCAAGTTTTGTGTGTCTTTAATTGGGGAAATGGGTTATTGATTGAAAACAGAAAAAAAAGCAGCAATTGCAAGTCTAGATGTTATATGATTGAAATTTATTTTGGAAACAGCAGAGGAACTCATGGAGAGCCATTTACAGTGTGTTGTGGTGTGGTGAGGCTTCACCTAATCACTAACTAGACTTCTATGAAAACGATTGGGACAAAATCACAAGTGCATCAGCTTCACATGGGAAGTAGAGGACTGAAGCGTAATATGAGTCAGATCAGTGTCAGTTGGAGGGCAGGCTGGATTCCAGCAAGCTGTTTTGAAATTTGAGTGTTTTAATTGCCTCAAAAGAATTGCCCAATATACTTAATTATTTGTTCCTGCAACATTTTCTTAATTATGCCTCAACATATTTAAAAGACTATATTTAGATCCAGCTATACTTCACTGTTTGAATTTCCAGTCACAAAGTCTGCAGCCTGCAGGAAGCACAGAAATATTGGTCCTAGAATCACAAAATCGTAAGATATTGGCCTGAGAGAATGAGGACACATGATTCTAGTCGCAGTTCATATCTGAGTTCTTTCAGTGGCGGCTGCTCCTGCCCTTTTGCACTCATTCAGTCACTTGTTCATGAATATCCGTTAATACATTCAACATATAGTTAATCCTGGACTAGACATGGTCCTAGATTGTGGACTAAAAGAATAAAAAAGACATAGCTCAGCCTACAAAACTTGGGAGAGAGACTGCCAGCAACTGCTGGTAGAGTGCCCTGAGAGGGTGCTGTGGAAGCCAGGATAGGGGTGGGGAGAAGAAGGAGAGTTTCCCATGGATGTGAAGGATGAGAGGACCTATTCTGGTGACGGAGAGGGGGGAAGGACATTCCTGGCATAGGGACCAAAATAAGCAGACACCAAGAAAAACAAGTAGTTTGAAAAATAAGTTGAAAAACAGTGTGAGTACATAAAGGTGGAAAGATAAGAATGGAGAGGGCAGCAGGATCCACCTACAAACTGAAGTCCAGAAGGGCTGTCAACTCATCTGGTCAATAAACCATTTGATATGTGTGAGTTAGGTGGATGTATTCATTTTGAGGATCTATGGTATTCTGATAACTCAAATTCATATTCTTCAAATATCTAAAAACTATATTTACCTTAATTTACAATAGCTGCTTAAAGGAGAAAAAAATCTTAATTCTTTTTGACTCAGGCAATCATCCACAAATGTCTACCCCCTACTTTGCATATTAGAAAAATAAGAGAGAGAATGAGGGAATAGAGGTTTGAGTTTTAGAGAAATGAGTTATAAAAATTCAAGCATTCTTATTTTTATGAGAACAGGGCTCAGGGGAAAAGAATGACAAATACTGTGTATTCCAAGTATTTACATGTCTTAGATGACTCCAAAAAGCAAACATAGTGTAAAAAATGGACTGAACAAACAAGTAACCTAGGAACACAGGCTAAAGAGACCCTAAAGGCCAGATACTCTTTTTAAAATTATATTTTAAATGAGAGAAATAGTTACAGTAATCCCATAGTAATCATTAAGTGTCCTTCAAGAATGGTGCTTTTCAAACCAACCCACTGTGAAGTCAGTTTAATAGGTCTGATCAGTATTTGTATTTTTGAAAAATAAAACAGAAGAGTGAGTATTGCTCATGAAATTCCTTAAATATATATATATATATATATGTGTGTGTGTGTGTGTGTGTGTGTGTGTGTGTGTGTGTGCGCACACATGCCTGCATAATGGACTGTGATGTAAAATGTATACCTCATTATACCTCATGTTCCAAAAAGTCTGAAAGCTACTGCTTTAAGTGATACAAAGAAGAGATGCTGCAAGTTTGCAAGATGCCAAGACTGAACCAAAGATCTGACAGATCTGATATACAAGCATTTTCTGCAATATTCTGAATAGCATAGTTGCCTGACTGAGGAAGTCAAGACTTATGAGTTACCGAATGCATGGCAGTAAAGTCGGAGATTCATGTCCTTGGGGACTGAATTGGTTTGGAAATACTTCCAAGGAGGAATGGGGACCTTGAGTTAGTTTATAAAAGACGGTTGGATCTGGATGGGCAGTGAGGAAGGGGTGCTGGCTGATTTTGTGTCTATAGAAGGAGGAAGTGAAGAATGAATTGGGTAATGGCAGTGATATTTAAGAATCATTTAGAAAGGAAAAAATAAATATCAAGTTGGGAGAAGAGAATTGCAGTAGAATTTCTGCTTGGACTGAAATACTACATGAGTTACATTTTTTTTTTTTTTTTTTTTTTTGAGACGGAGTTTCGCTCTTGTTACCCAGGCTGGAGTGCAATGGCGCGATCTCGGCTCACCGCAACCTCCGCCTCCTGGGCTCAGGCAATTCTCCTGCCTCAGCCTCCTGAGTAGCTGGGATTACAGGCACGCGCCACCACGCCCAGCTAATTTTTTGTATTTTTAGTAGAGACGGGGTTTCACCATGTTGACCAGGATGGTCTCGATCTCTCGACCTTGTGATCCACCCGCCTCGGCCTCCCAAAGTGCTGGGATTACAGAGTTACATTTTAAAAAAAATTTCATTGTGTATATTTAAGGTATATAACATGATGTTATAAGATACATACACATATATACTATATATACTTAGTAAAATGGTGATGATAACTCTAGTGGAATAAGGTAATGTATACATCATCTTTTATATCTTCTGCATTGTATCCTTTGACCTGGATGTCTCCTTTCCTTCTCCTGACCACCTTCAGCCTGGTAATCACTTTCTTATTTCCTATCTCTGTATATCTGACCTTTGTTGGGTTGTTAATTATTTTATAACTAAGATCTATTTTCCTAATACTGCTACTTTAAATCTAGACTACATCATAAATCTGCCATTTCCTGCCATCTTTTTATTTATTTTGCAGTAATTTACTGGTTAGGCATTGATTCAGTTGAATCTTACTGCTGAACTATTGACATTACAAGATACACCACATTGTGGCATGAATATTTCATTTCTCAGAATGCAACTACAGTCATTGGCACAGAAGGCCGAGGTGGTCATGTGAGGAACTGACAGGCTGTGAAGATGAACCAGATCTCTTGGTAGCCATGAACTCCTGAAGGAAGGGCAGCATCTGCCATATTTTCTTTTTGTCAGTTTCTCTATGACTTGCCCATCTTCTTAGTTAGATATTTAAATATGTTTGTATGCATTTCTAGAAATTTCATTCTTGTGTTTTTCTGGAACCTAATAGTTATTTTGAGGAGACAAAGTCAGAGAAGAAAACCTTTACTTGTGTTTCTGAACATTTTATTGGTGGGCTTTGTTCAGCTCTTGCTGTCTTCTGGAATAGAACAATCTTGTGATATTGATACTCTTTTGAATGAAGCTGTACCTTTAAACAGAAGAACAGTGCCAGTTAAGTCAGAGATTCATCTGCTTGAATTAGTTGATTTGGAGTGCAACCAAATATGGAACTTTGCCTTTTT